TATTAATATCATTGCGTAGACGTCACGTTTCTACAATACATTTGTATCAATTTGACGGTATAAATAGAAACGAAATTTTGCTATATACTCACTGTGACTCGACATCGTGAGCGATAGTCACTGTGACTGGTGTCTCGACATCGTGGGCGATAGTCACTGTGACTCGTGGCTCGACATCGTGAGCGATAGTCACTGTGACTTGTGGCTCGACATCGTGGGCGATAGTCACTGTGACTCGTGTCTCGATATCGTGAGCGATAGTCACTGTGACTCGTGGCTCGATATCGTGAGTGATAGTTACTGTGACTCGTGGCTCGACATCGTGGGCTATACTCACTGTGACTCGTGGCTCGTCATCGTGAGCGATAGACACTGTGACTCGTGGCTCGACATCGTGGGCGATAGTCACTGTGACTCGAGGCTCGACATCTTGGGCGATAGTCACTGTGACTCGTGTCTTAACATCGTGGGCGATAGTCACTGTGACTCGTGTCTCGACATCGTGGGCGATAGTCACTGTGACTCGTGTCTCGACATCGTGGGCGTTAGTCACTGTGACTCTTGGATCGACATCGTGGGCGATAGTCACTGTGACTCGTGGCTCGACATCGTGGGCGATAGTCACTGTGACTCATGGCTTGACATCGTGGACGATAGTCACTGACTCGTGTCTTGACATCGTGAGCAATACTCACTGTGACTCGTGTCTCGACATCGTGGGCGATAGTCACTGTGACTCGTGTCTCGACATAGTGGGCGATAGTCACTGTGACTCGTGTCTCGACATCGTGGGCGATAGTCACTGTGACTCATGGCTTGACATCGTGGACGATAGTCACTGACTCGTGTCTCGACATCGTGAGCAATACTCACTGTGACTCGTGTCTCGACATCGTGGGCGATAGTCACTGTGACTCGTGTCTCAACATCGTGAGCGTTAGTCACTGTGACTCTTGGATCGACATCGTGGGCGATAGTCACTGTGACTCGTGGCTCGACATCGTGGGCGATAGTCACTGTGACTCATGGCTTGACATCGTGGACGATAGTCACTGACTCGTGTCTTGACATCGTGAGCAATACTCACTGTGACTCGTGTCTCGACATCGTGGGCGATAGTCACTGTGACTCGTGTCTCGACATCGTGGGCGATAGTCACTGTGACTCGTGTCTCGATATAGTGGGCGATAGTCACTGTGACTCGTGTCTCGACATCGTGAGCAATACTCACTGTGACTCGTGTCTCGACATCGTGGGCGATAGTCACTGTGACTCGTGTCTCAACATCGTAGGCGATAGTCACTGTGACTTGTGTCTCGACATCGTGGGCTATACTCACTGTGACTCATGGGTTGACATCGTGGGCGATAGTCACTGTGACTCGTGGCTCGACATCGTGGGTGATAGTCACTGTGACTCTTGTCTCGACATCGTGAGCAATACTCACTGTGACTCGTGTCTCGACATCGTGGGCGGTAGTCACTGTGTCTCGTGTCTCGACATAGTCAGCGATAGTCACTGTGACTTGTGTCTCAACATCTAGAGCAATAGTTACTGTGACTTGTGGCTTGACATCGTGGGCGATAGTCACTGTGACTCGTGGCTTGGCATCGTGGGCGATAGTCACTGTGACTCGTGGCTTGACATCGTCGGCGATAGTCACTGTGACTCGTGGCTTGACATCGTCGGCGATAGTCACTGTGACTCGAGGCTTGACATCGTCGGCGATAGTCACTGTGACTCGTGGCTTC